TCTAACTGCAGTTCCATCCTCAGAGGCAACATACTGTTTTTTTTTTTTACTTTATTAATATATCATAGATATTTTTCCGTTTTATCTTTTGTAGCTTAATTTATTTTTTAAAGAATATTTAGCAGCTTGAGGTGTAATTTATATATCATAAAATTTAGGCATTGCAAATGTATAATTTAATTATTTTAGTAAATTTGTACAGTTGTGCAGTCATCACCATAATCCAGTTTAGAGCACTTATTACTCCAAAAGTCTCCTTATGCCTCTTTGCAGAATCTTCAACCTCAGTCATAGGTAACAATGTATCTGCCTTTTGTCTTTATAGTTGCTTTTAAAAAAGATTTTATATAAATGAAATCATACAACATGCTTTCTTTTGTGTCTGGCTCTTTTTGCTTAGCATAGTGTTTTTAAGGTTCAGCTGTGTTGCTAAACATATGAATAGTTCCTGCCTTTTTCTTGCTAAGTAATATTCCATTGTATGGATATATTATGCTTTATTTAATATTTTATTAAACTATGATGGATATTTGGTTTGTTTCCAGCTTGGGGATATTATAAATAACCCTGCTATGAATATTTAAATAAAATCTTTGTATTTACATATGTTTTTATTTTTCTTGGGTAGATACCTAGGAGTGTAATTGCTGGGTTATATGATAAGTTACGTTTAAAAATATGCCAAACATTTTTCTTTTTTTTTTTTTTTTATTTCTGGCAATATTAATGGGGGTACAGATTTAAGGGGTTCTCATAGAATGCCCAGTTTCCCCCCCTCCCCCAAACCGTCTGAGTCTCCAATTCATGACCGCATCCCCAGTGGTGCACATCTCACATCCACTATGTAGTGTATACCCGCCCCCCTCCCCCTCCCACCTTGCCCAATACCCTATGTACTTGTAGCACCTACGTGTCCACTTAGGTGGTCTACTCAGTTAATACCAGTTTGTCTGGAGAATATATCTGGTGCTTGTTTTTCCACTTCTTGGGATACTTCAGCTTAGTAGTATGGGTTCACAGCTCTAAACCAGGAAAAATATGAAGGTGGCTATAATTCCACCATTGTGTTCTTTAGAGGCTGATAGTACTCCATGGTGTACATAGTACCACATTCTTATTAATCCATTCTTTGATTGATGGCCACTTGGGCTGTTTCCACAGCCTTGCAATAACTGAATTGTGCTGCTATAAACATTTCGAGTGCAGGTGTCTTTTTGTAGGTGTCCCCACTGGATCATTGTGGGTAGATGCCCAGCAATTGGGATTCGCTGGATCAAATGGGTAGATTCACTTGTATCGCTTTAGGATCTGCCATACTGCTTTCCACAGAGGGTTGAACCTGGTCTTGCAGTCCACCAGCAGCTGTAGGAGTGCTTCCTCTCGCAGCCCGCAAACCACGCCAGCGCCATTCAACTTGTTGGAGAGTTTTTGATAAAGGTCCATTCTCACTTGGGGTAAGTGATATCTCATTGTGGTTTTTGCATTTGCATTTCCTGATGATTTCAAGATGTTGAGCATTGTCTTCGATATGTTTGTTGGCCATTCTTCTGTCTTCTTTAGAAAACTTTCTGTTCAAAGTCCTTTGCCCACTTTTAATGAGTTACTTTGATTTTTTTCTTCTAATTTTCGTGAGTTCTAAGCGTATTATTCCTAGTTTATCAGTCCTTATCGCGATGCATAGGATTGCAAAAATTTTCTCCCATGTCTGTAGGTTGTCTGTTTACTTTCATGACTATTTCTTTGGCTGTGCAGAAGCTTTTGTAGTCTTGATCCTGTCCCCATTTATTTATTTTGTTGCTGCTGTGTTGCCCTTTGGGGACTTCCCATAAACTCTTTGCACCAGGCCGACGTCTTTCATGAGAGTGTTTCAACTTTTTCCTCTAGAGTTCTAACTAGTTTCATATCCTTAAGGTTTAAGTCTGTTATCCGCGTGAGTTGGTTTTTGTGAGGAGGTGAAAGGTGTTGGGTCCTGTTTGTAGCCTTCCTACAGGTGGCTATCACCAGTTTTCCCAGCACCATTTTTGAAGAGGGATTCTTTTCCCCAGCGGTAATGAGTTTTGTCTGCTTTGTCAAAGATGAGATGGCTATATGAGGATGGTTTTATATCAGGATCTCACATGTTCCACTGGTCCCAATATCCGTTATGTGTGCCAATACCATATTGTTTTAATTACTACAGCCTTTGTAGTATCACGTTTGATATGGCATATTAATGCCTCCCAATGTTTGTTTTTGTTGCCTAGAATTGCCTTCTTGATATTCGGGTCTTCTTTGGTTCCTACGAAGCCGTAAAATTATTTTTTGCTATGTCCTGTGAAGAATGCTGATGGGGATTTTTAATAGGTATTGCATTGAATCTGTAGAGTCAGTTGGTAGCTATCAGACATTTTAATGATGTAGTCCTGCCTGATTCATGAACCTGGATACGGATTTTCCAGTCTGTTCACATCTCCTGCTATTTCCTTCCTCAGTGTTTTCATGAGTCTCACCTGTAGAGGTCTTTTACCTCCTTTGGTTAAATATAGTTTAGGTTACTTTAACTTTCTTTGTTGCTATTGTGGAAGGGAATTGCAGTCTTTGATTTGGTTTCAATTAGATTGGTGTTGGCGTACTGAATGCCTCTGATTTCGTGCATCTGATTTTGTAATCCTGAGACTTTACTAAAATTCATGGATCATTCCAGGACAGTGTCTTGGTTGAGATCCTTGGCGTTTGCTAGATATAAATATCATATCATGCAGCAAACAGTGAAAGTTTCGATCTCTTCTGCCCCTATTTGGATACTTTGATTCCCATTTTCCTGTCTGATTGCTGTAGCCAAGACTTCAGCACTAGTTGAACAGAAGTGGAGATAGTGGCATGCCTTGTCTGGTTCCCAGTTCTAAGTGGGAAGGTGTCCTTTTTCAAATCTTTCCCCCATTCAGTAATGATGTTGGCTATTGGGTCTGTCATATATGGCTTGTATCATTTTTAAGTATGTCCCTTCTAGGCCTATTTTCTTAAGTGTTCGTATCATGAAAGGGTGTTGGAATTTTTGTCAAAGCTTTTCTCGCATCTATTGAAAAGAATCATTGGTCTTTGTTTTTGCTCCTGTTTATGTGGGTGAAATGCATTTATAGATTTACGTATGTTGAACCATCCTGCATCCCTGGGATGAAGCCCACACTTGGTCGTGGTTGGATTAATTTTTTGTGGAAGTGTCGGATTCCGGTACGCTAGATTTTGTTGAAAATTTTTGCATCTATTTCCATTAGGGATTGGTTGTAAGTTTTCGTTTTTTTTGTTGCATCCTTTCCTGGTTTTGGGTATCAGAGTAATAGCCTTCGCTTCATAAAGGCTGTCGGAGGTTTCCGTTCTTCGTCGACTGTTGTGGAATAGTTTCTGGCAAGATAGGTACTCATTCTTCTTTGTAAGTATGGTAAAATTCACAGGGTGAAGACATCTGGACTGGACTTTTCTTTTTAGGAGATTTTTATTGCCTGCGAGTTTCTATTTCAGTCTGTTGGATTGATCTGTCAGCGGAATCTATCTTCTTCCCTGTTGGCCTAGGGAGGCTGGTGTTTCTAGAAATTTGTCCATTTCCTCCACATTTTCCAGTTTGTGTGACATAAAGGATTTTGTAGTATTCCATAAATTGTATCCCTTGTTATCTCTTTGGGATCAGTTGTATATCTCCTTTTTTATCCTGATGAGCTTATTAGCAGCTTCTCCACTTTTCTGGCTTTTCGTTAGCTTAGCCATGGTGGTCAATTTTGTTTATTTTTTCCACAAGAACCAACTTTTTTGTTTTTTAATCTCCTGAATAGCTTTCCTGTTTTCCAATTCGTTAGTTCTGATTTTGATCTTGGTTGATTTCACTTCTTTTGCTGGTTTGGGGTGGTCTGTTCTCCTTTTTCCAGCTCTTTTAGCTCGTTTCATTAGATTTGTTGATTTGTGATCTTCTGTCTTTGGTTAGTAGCATTTATGGAGATAAACTTTCCTCTCAGAACTGCTTTAGCTGTGTCCCAGAGGAGTTGATAACTTGTCTCTCCATTGTCGTTTTCTTCATAGAAGTTTTAGAATATATTCTTAGCAGTGCTATAGTTAACCTTCTTCTATGTATTACTTTATTTACTTAAGCTACTAATTTGCTAAGACAGGTTTCTAGGCATGGGATTGCTGGGCCAAAGGATATGCATCTTTTTAATTTTGATAAATACTATCAAATTATTCTCCAAAATGTGTGCAGGATAATTACACTGTTAGAATAATGTTCAAGAAAGTCCACTTCTCCTTATCTTGCAGCCACCCTTAATAGGTTGAACATCCCTTATCCAAAAATCCAAATTCCAAAATGCATCAAAATTCAAAACTTTTTGAGCACCACCATGATATCACATGGGGGTCTGAGACAGTAACACACTTGTTTTCTGGTGGTTCAGTGTATTTAAACTTTGTTTCATGCACAAAATTATTAAAAATATCATAAAATTACATTCAGCTTATGTGTATAAAGGTATATATGAAACATAAATGAATTTCATATTTAGACTTAGGTCCCATCTTCAAGCTATCTCATTATGTATGTGCAGATATTCCAAAATCCAAAAAATTCTGAAATCTGAACCACTTCTGGTCCCAAGCATTTTGGATAAGGGATAGCAACTTCTACTATTAATCTTTTACATTTTTGCCAATATGAAAAGCAAAAATTTTGGCATATTTTTATTTGCACTTATCTAGTTGTAGTGGAGTTGAGAATATTTTCATATGCTCTTTGACCATTTCTTTTTTTTTTAATAAAGTGACTTTCTGTGTCATTTGCTTAATTTCCAGTTAGATTGGTGGTGGTTTTTTTATTTATAGGTCCTTTGGTATTTTAGTGATACTGAACTGTATCTGTTTTAGGTTGTAAATATTTTTTTTTCTGTTCTGTCATTTATATCTTTTAGTTGTAATTTTTCTTCAAGCTTTTAAAACCCTGGTGTTGTAATTTATGTTTTTGTTTGTTTTTAAAACAGAAAGTTGTGCAAGGGATCGATGTAAACCAAATTCGAGGACTTGGGTTTGATGCCACGTGTTCTCTGGTTGTTTTGGATAAGCAGTTTCGTCCTTTACCAGTAAACCATGAAGGTAGGACCATTCCTGTTCCTTTTCCTGGTGATGGGAGACTGGCTGGGGCAGACTTGGATGGCCAAAGGACTCAGGTAGAACATGGGTCAGGCAGTCCTTGCCCACTGATAGTGAGATTCAGAGGTGGAGTGAGGAGGATAGAAATTGTATCCCAGAAATGAAAACCTTGGGCAGTAGTTGGTATGAGTGGGGTCGTGTTGGGGCTGGGTTAGGGGAGACTTGGCTTCCTAAAGCACAAGAGCCACAGCAGAGAGCCTGATGAAGGAAGGGTGTGGGATCATTAGCTGGGAGTGAGTAGCCTTGAAAGAGAAGGTGGTTAGAATGTTTCATGGGAAGGCAGTGCGAGAGCTTGCAGTTGATTTGTGTATGAAGCTCCTAGTCCATGTTCATTCAAGTGGGTGAGCCCAGCCCTTTTAAAGGAAATGGAACAAGGTAGATAGGACCATGTGTCTCACAGAAGCTGGAAACAGATGGCTTCTCTATTTCAATAGTCAGACCAAAAGACATTCACATGTGATGACATTGTTCTAATAGATACTGTGACTACAGAAATGAGCTGTTTAAAATGTAAGGCACTACTTGGTCACACCATCAGAGGTTTTTCATGGCAGGTGAGATTGTATCTCTTTTGGGGAATTTTAGCCAGTAGTGTTGGTACTCTACGCCAGTCAGGCAGGTAATGTAAATGAGTAAAATGGCCCAGGTTTGAGAATAACAGCAGCACACATGTATGTGCAAAGATAAATTTCAGCCAATATTTAACCTTGCAATGAGCAGAAGACATTAGGTTGTGGTAGAGTCTGTGGTACACTGGAGATCGCAGCCCCATCTAAAGTTGGGGGTGGCTCTAGGCATTGTCAGTGAGCTGTTGCCAAGATAGCCTTTGCAGACAAGTTTGGGGCTAGCTTCTGTTTAAGAACCTTAGTTCTGGAGACTGCTTGTAGTAGCACCTTTCTTAACTACTGGCTATGATATAGTAGGGCACACTAGGACACAGCGGAATTGCAGTCAGGCAAGGACCAGCTTGCAGCTCTGCTGTTGCTGAGCTATGACACCTTGGGTGAGTCACTTAACTCTGCATGTCTAAGTTTTCTCCTCTGGAAAAATTGGAATAGTGAGTCAGTTGCTTTGCTGTGAGAATTAAGTGAGAGCCTGACACTTAAAATGCTCAGAAAAGTGTCTTCGACTTGTCTTTGAATTTTTCAGGTTAAGAGAATGTGTTCCACTCACTTCTGTGGACTTAATGCAAGTAATAATGGTTATTATAAATGACATGTGCTGAAAGGTGTGCAAATTGATGAGTAATTAGAGCACAGTGATAATGACAACCATCTCTTACACACACACGCACACACACACACATGCACATATTTGAACTTATTTCCCCCTTCTTGCCATATTTATTATCACCTATGGTGTGCCAAGCTCTGTCTTATTAAATGCAGGTGCTTCAAAGATGAATCTGAATGTTCCTTGTTCTCAGTGGCCATTCATTGGCTCCATTGGCATTGTTATGGCATTGTTATGGCCCAGGGCAGCCTCAGTCTGGGCCACTTCCGAGAGCACAGTCCACAGAAGTGGTGGTGAGCAGGCAGCCCTCAGCCCAGCAGCAGCAAGCATTCTCCAGCTACAAGATGCGGCCATCTGTGGACCTGACCACTTTGCAAGGCTGTCAGCACTCCCTTTATTGGCTTTATTTAAGTAAAGGTCAGGTGATTGTCTGTTAGGGCTGCTGTAGGTCAGGTGTCTCTTGCCACTGATAGTGAGATTTAGAGGTGGAGTACAGAGGCCAGAAATCATGTCCCAGAAGGTAAGAGCTTAAAGAGCAATTGGTATTAGTGGGGTGGGTGGGGGCTGGGTCAGGAAGGGACTTCTTGGCTCCCTAAAGCCACTATAGAGAGCCTGTTTCGGGGTGGGACTGTAGATATTAAGAATCCTGTACCATCTGATCTACTAAAGTATATGTTTAGTCCCCCCGCCCACTGGCTATGCATTAGTATCAATTGGAGATCTTTTAAAAAGATTACCAATTTATTAGCCTTACCCCTAAGATTTGTATTCAGTTGTCTTGGGGTGGGGCGAGGACATTGACATTTTTAAAATGTCCATTTTTTAAAAGTTGCCTCAGCAGTGTTAGTATGTGCAGAATCACTGGGCACAGATGAACGGGCAGTTAAAATATTAGGAACAGAACACTGGGAGTGGAAGAAGAGAGTTCCTTTTTAAACCTGCTTAAATATAATACATACCCTCTCTGGATGCCATCTTTTTTTCATTGTAGGTACAATTGCCTCCTGTTAACAGGCCCTCTATTAAAAGGGCAGCTATGTTACAGCCCTAATTATAAGTGTTGAAATAACCGTATTCCACCTAAAAGGTTAAAATGTGCCCATTCATCAAACGCATCCAGCTGCAGGTGCCCTTCCCCAGTTGCTTGCCTTTCAACAGATTGCATTAAGGTTAGACTTTTTTTTCTGAAATGAATTATCCTGTGCTAGAAAATGAAATTAGAGTCTAAAGGTGGTTTAAAGGTTCTCTGAAGACTGCTTCTACCTGCGTGGCAGTGACCAACTCTTGCTTTGTTAACGGGAGTGATTTGAGGAGCGGGGAGTGGGATCAGGACATTTACAGATTACCCCAGTCGCCATTAGAACCAAGCTCACAGACCAGAAGTATTGCCATCTTTAGCTGTTAACCAAGAAATGAAAAACAGAAACCAATAAGTTTAAGTATAATCAAAATTACTGTATGATAAAACAGTCTCATTGTTTGCCTTTTCTTGTTTGATTCTTCTTCCTGGAAGCTGCAAACAGCCCCTGGGGTGGACAGCAGTGTGGTTGCTGCGTTCCTGCCCCTGCAGCAGCCCATGGAGCTCAGAGCCTGAGTCTGGTTGTGTCATAGGAGTCCTTGGGAGGGAACCAAGGTGACAGTTAAGGCTGGGAGAGGAAGTTCCAGCCTGGGCTACTTTGTGCAACAGAAACATAGTATTTAGATGCATTTGCTGATACATAGTAATTTTTTCCCCTTTAGTATGCCCGGACCACATCTTGGGAAGTGTTCAAAATATTAATGAAGTGAACCCCTAGGTAAAATGAGGCAGCTCAAATTATGCTTTACCAAATTATCTCCAATTTTGTTAAAAGATGACATCTCTTGGTCTGTGCCCTGTTTCACATGCCGTCTGTATTGTGTAGAACCTCTTTCTTTACTCTTCCTTCACCTGGCTAACTAATGGCCAGTGACTTGCAAAGTAAGTCAAAGCTTTCCTGCCTTTTGGCAGCTCTCTGTGAAGCCTCAGGCTTGGCTCACTAGATTCTTCTCTGTGCTCCTCCTCAGTCTTCTCACATCTGGTACTTTTGTTCCAGCAGTCAACACACTGTATAGACTCTTTCTCCATCACACACATGCTCCTGAAGCGCAGGGACGGTGACACATTCTTCTTGGTATCCCAGCACCCAGCACTGTGCCTGGCATGTCGTAGATGCCCAGTAAGAGATTACATGAACTTTCAGCGGAGTCATTTATTTGTGATTTTCTATAAGAACTGAAAAAGGATGAACTTCTCAGGTTTTTTCTGAACTGAAAAATTTAAATTAATAGTTATATATAAATATAGTAAAGTGACTGATTCTGTACAATTCTCAGTGTATTGTTCTGACTGCATTTTGAGAGCCTCTTTATGTAGAGGCAGTAGTAGCTGATGGGTCATGCAGAAGTGTTGCAACAGGTGGTTTTGCCTTGAAGCAGCTGTAGATATATTCTGTACAGTGTTTAAGAAACAACACTGATGCTGTCCCCCTCAACACCCATCTACACACACGTGTGCAGGTGTATGTATGTGTGCACACCCACGTTCTAATTCGCTGATGGGTTCTGAAATAGGACCTGGACCTCAGTATTTTTAGAAGTTATCCATGTGCTTCTCATGAGCTACTAGTTTTGGGAGCCAGAGCTTTGAGCAATTCTTTTATACAGTAGAACGACTGTGCTGTTTAAAAATATTTTTTTGATATGCCTTTGGAAGGTCTCATGTACTTTGTCTTATTTTCAAAACATTACTGTTGTTTGTAGGGCTTTTGTGGGACTTGGAATTTTTCCAGTTAGGCAGACCAGTGACAGAGCTCTTACCTTGGTATGCCCATGACTTTATCTAGATATTTTTTTAGGTTGGCTTTTTTAAAATTTTAGTTTTAAAAAAATCTTTCCAAAGATATGGAAGCATAAAGAATGTAAAATAGCCTTCTATGCACCTACTACTGAGCATAAACAGATGAATTTTTGCCATATTTGCATCAGATCTTTTTTTCTTTTCTTTTTAAGAAGTATTTGTAACTTCAGCCCATCCTTCCCCTACCCCCACCACCTACAGCTAACTATTCTATGGTAATTGTTCATAAAGACATTGTTTTTATGCTTTTACTATGTATGTATACACCCACAACAGCAAACAATATAGAGTTGTCCCTGATTATCTGTGGGGATTTGTGCCAGGGCCTCCGATGGATGCTAAAACTGGTGGATGTGCAAGTCCCTTTTACAAAATGGTGTAGCATTTATATATAACCTACAAACATCCTCACTTATACTTTGTCATCTCTAGACTACTTGTAAGACCTAGTACTTATAATTCCCTAGTACAGTGTAACTGCTATGTAAATAATTGTAATGCTCTATAGTTGAGGGAATAATAGCAAGAAATAGTTTATACATGTTCAGTACAGATGAAACCACTTTTTTTGTTTTTTAAAAAAATATTTTCAATCCACAGTTGGTTGAATCCATAGATGTAGAACCCACAGATAAGGAGGGATGGCTTTGTGTTTTAAAACATCTCAGCTGGTGTCCTTATTCTTGTTAATATGTCTAACTCTAGTTTATTTGCTATATCAGATTATTTATTCACCACACAGATGTGGTTTTAACACACACTTCATACATTTGCCAGCTGCTAGACTTTGGGCATATCTTCACCCTTGAGAAGTATGTTCGTCATTGAAAAATGGGGTTAATAATACCTGTATCAGAGGATTGTTTTGAGGATTAAATGAGGTAATGTGTGTATAAAATGTTTAGCTCAGGGCTCGAGAGACGCACAAGCGCACCTTATAAATGTGTGCTGTTAGCAAGATATGTAGTGTGCAGTTGTTTTGCCATTAAATAAAATAATGTGTGAAAATGCCTGGCTCTCATTTTTTCTCTTCTCTAATAATCTCCCAGGTATCATCGTTACTGTTGTCTGCATTCTGCCATCGCAGGAGTCAGGGGGCCGTAAAAGGCTCACTGGCTTGCCCATCAGTACATGATGGGTTAACAGAGGCTGGAGGAGAAAGGGGGGACAGTTGCTATGTGGGCTGCAGGGTGGCAGAGGCAGGATATGAGGGGTGGTGCTCCTTTTCCAGCTGGTTCTAAATTCTGCTCCTTAAGATTTACTCCCCCTGAGGGCCTACTTTGTGTGAGAGGGGCTTGCCATATCCTTTATGTGCACAGTCTTTTTTTAGTAACTTCCTGAATATATCTCCATCTGTAACTTAGAGAGTCAGCATTCCCCATTTGGTCTGCCTGACTCCAAAACTCATGTGTTTCCTGCTCCCCCAAACAAATGAAATGAATGAGGAAACAACACTTACATGAACTAAATTTTATTAAACTGACCAGAAAACAAATATATATGCAGATAAATGCCAATTGTGTAGCTATTAGATATATTATTATACATCAAAGTATGTGTCCATATTTAAAGGAGATATCTTTAATAGATGAAGTATTGTCCTAGTCTTAATTCATAGGCTCTTTTCCTGAATGTGTGCCCAAGAAAGTTTTTTTAGAACAGAAGGGATAGGAAAGGAGGGGAAGAAGTTGAGAAAGAATGAATGATAATATAATTAACTGGTAGATTTTGGCTGGTTTTAATGTATACTTTTAATCCTAGGGTTATGGTCAAAGAACACATTGCTGGCAGGGGAATCCAAAGTTTGGGTACCGTGTACTCACCGGCATGGCTGGTGTCCTTTCACTTTGCTCATTCTTGATGCACGGAATTGTAGAAGTTACACAGCATTTTGCCCTTGGGAATCCATAATTGTTTCCTTGAATTAGAAGGTCAAGAATGCATATCTGTCCTCATCTCTTGGTTCTGCTAGGGGATTCCCGTCGAAACATCATCATGTGGCTGGACCACCGAGCGGTCAGTCAGGTCCACAGCATCAACGGAACCAAGCACCGCGTCCTGCAGTACGTCGGGGGGATGATGTCTGTGGAGATGCAGGCCCCCAAGCTTCTGTGGCTAAAAGAGGTGAGTGCACAGGGTTGAAGAGAGGATGGTAACAATAGTAGAGGGTTCCTTTTATTGTAGATCTGCATGTGCCAGGCACACTGCTAACGTCTGTGAAGTTTGATTTTTCCCAGCAACTCTCTAGGGAAGGTTGATCCTATTTTATTGATTAGGTTGCAGCTAAATCACACCTGTTTTTATGTGCTTAACTCATGCCAGGCACTGCGATTCATATTTTACACATCATCTCTTTGAATGCTAACAGTGATCCTATGAAGTTTTTTTTTTCTCTAGGATCTCTGTATTGTAGACAAGAAAACTAAAGCTCATTAGAGGTAAACTAACTCAAAGTGACTATAAGTAGTTGACCTAGTCAAGATTTGAACCTAAGACTGGCAGACTCCCAAATCAATTCTCTTCATGGTAGAAATAGTCATTGGGTGCTGGTCAGATGGGGGTATGGGTAGGGGTAGGGGGCGGTAAACTCAGAACTAATGGAGACAGAGCTCACTGTATGGGGGAAGGGCATGCTTCTAGCCCTGCTTGGGCAAAGGAAAGGCATTACATGTAACCAAATTGTTTGTACCTCCATAATATTATGAAGTTAAAAAATAATTAATTCTCTTAATATTCAGTACTCTACTGGAATTCAGAGAAGCTAATTGCCATCCCAATTAGAAAGTAGCAGAGCTAGGATTTAAGTCCAGGTCTTCTGACCATATATACTTTTAGTCCCAAATTATTCATCTTTGGCCTTGTTGACATTTTACAGTATCCCTTTCTCATCTCACCTGCACTTGAGTTTCCAAGTCCTTGAATGATAGGCAATCTCTGGTCAAAGCACTTGCAGGTGGTTCCCATTTCCAGATGTTAGGACTTCTTTATGAAGTGTGGAGAATGGTGATGTCAGCTTAATGGTTCCCATTAGAGATGGATGTGTGAGAAAGTTCAAGTCCTTTGGGAACTTCAGGGACTTGAAAAGCCCTAGGTGGTCTGGTGAATAGAGAATCCATCTAATGAGCAAGACATGCGGTGATTCATTTACTGGCTCTGAGGTTTCAGGTGGGCTGAGGCTTCAATTACTCAAATTGTGTATGGAGATGGGGGAGCTTAGGGTACTGAGAAGGTGCCCCAGGATTGCCACCATGGGACAGGACGGGGGTAAGAAGGAAGGGCTTCAACAGTCAAAGCAGGCTTGGCTTGCTATCTGTTGTAGTAATATATATTGAGCTGTTTTGTAAGTTTTAATCTGCAGAAAGGCTTCCATGGTTGCTAAGAGTTTGAAAACACAAAGTTTCTTAGGAGTCAGGAGTTTTCAAGAACCAGTTCTGAATCTAGTGTCAATAATTGTGTGCTTTGGGCAAAACACTTCTCATCCCAGGCCTCACTTTTTCCATCTATAAAGTGAGAGAGTTGGATTAGGTCATTCTGAAAACGTGATTCAAATACATGCTGAAACACAAATCAGAATATAGAACTTTTCTGCACTGCCTCCACAGTGTGCTTTATAGGCATCAATTGATTTAATCCTATCAGACCCTGCTTGGTAAATAACATGGAACACTGAGGCTGAGAGAGGGGTTATATGGCTTTCTCAAACTGTTGATAGGGCCAGAATTTAAAACCATATCTACTGAGCTTCAAATCCCAGTTTCTTCCATCATGTCATAGAGTACTAAAATCCCTCCACGAAGCGTGCAGCTTGGGGTAGGACCAGGAAGGAGGGCAGTGGTGCTCGTTAGGCCAGCCTAAACTTGTTGCAAGAGAAGAAATACGTTAGCTATATGACTATTTTTTGTCAACACAGAAAAAAAGAGTTGTATTTATACTAAGTGAGGTGGATTGGGCAGAGGGTGGTTGGTTCATCGGCAGCGTCTTTATTAAGTACCTGCAAGGCCAGCTCAAGCCGTATATCCCAGGAGATCTAAATGTACATCTGGCATGAACCTCCCAGGATGCTTCCCATCTTGCGCTTGAGATTAAACTACACTAAGTAAAGCCCATAGAAATTAATTAAGTTACAGATTACATGGCAGTGTCTGTGACCTTCCAAGAGCATCTTCTATTAATTTATTTTGAAAAAAATCATTCCCTTTTAAAATTTTCTAAGTTTCTAAATGTTGCCTCACTATGTATTCAACTACCTGCAGGGTAAGCCTCAAACCCATTTTGTTTTTTGGGGTGGGAGTAAGCATGCCTAAGAATTCTTGCTGAGAATCCACTGGGTTTTAGCATGATTGCAAATTCACAATTAACAGTATTTCTAAAATCAGTTTTAGCATCTTCTCCTTACTCCTTAAAGCCTGACCATGATGGCTATAATGCTTCTCAAATTTTAATGTGTAAATGAATCACCAGGAGATCTTGTTAAACTGCAGGTTATGATTTAGTAGCTCTGGGGTAAGGACTGAGAATTTGAGAATTTTCGTTTCCAACAAGTTGCCAGGTGATGCCGATATTGCTGGCCTGGAGACTTATTAAGTCACTTTTAATTCCAGAGACTCCCACTCTTGTACCATGAAAAGCTTCCAATTGTGGAGAATCAGGAAATGGTACTTTCTTTATAATGCTGCAGTAGAGCTGTTCAAGTGCACATTCAAAATAAAAATATGAGATTTTTGTGTCCTATTGATGAGTTCTTTGAACTATCATTTATTTACTTTCTATTCATTCCTTAATTTGCCAAATCTGAACTGAGCTCTATGAACCAGAAACTGTGATAGGCCCTGGAGACAGGGGGACAAGAAGTACTCAGCCTTACCCTTAAGGGGCACAGTGTCCACTGGGGACAGTGGTGGTGGAACATAAAGAATGGGGTGGGTGGAGGAGAGACATGGAAACAGAGCCACCAGAAGGTGCACTAAGCACTGTGGTGTGGGATTATGAAGAGTGCCATGGGAGAAAATGATTAGCTTCCTGGAGGTCAGTACTTTGACATAAACCTTAAGATACGAGTGGAGGTTTTGCCTAGTAGAGAAGACAGGAAGGATATTCTAGAGAGACACCCTGATTTCTCTGTGGTATGGCCCAGAGATGGTTTGAGATGCCATTTTTACATACCTCCCCCAACACACCTCCTTTGCTGTGTGTCTTTCTCCTCCTGCTGTGTGGCTCACTCTCACCCATGCACAGGGATCAGCTCAGAGTCTTAGCTAGTGATTGGCTATACCCCTCAGGCCCAAATCTGGCCGACTGCCTGTTATTGGATGGCTTAGGAGCTAAGAATGGCCTTTACATTTTCAAGTGGTTGAGAAAAAATCAAAAGAAGACTATTTTGTGACTTGTGAAAATTATATGAAATTAAAATCTAGTGGCTATAAATAAAGTTTTATTGGAACATAACCACACTCATTTGTGTATGTACTGTGTGCATGGCTGTTTTTGCATTACAATTACAGAGCTGAGTAGTTGAGACAAAGACTTTATGACCTCAGAGCAGAAAATATATATTATCTGGACCTATAGAGAAAAAGTTTTCTGCCCCTAGTCTTGACGATGCCATACCTTCTGCCCAGAATATTCTTCTTCTGCTTATTTACTACTAATTCTTCCTCATCATTTAGGTCTCAGCTTTATTGTTGCTTTCTTGGAGAACTCTTTCCCGACCCTCAAATAAATCAGAAGTCTCTTGTCATTGCACTCTTAATTTTGCTTCATTGTATCTTTCATAAATTGTAATGATATGTCAGTTTGTATAATGATTTATGTAATCCTTTCCCCTTTCAACCTTTGTAATATAAAGGTTGTAATATCTATTGTTTTCTTTGCTGTATCCCTATCTGTAATCAAATGGCTGGTTTATAATAGTGCTCAATACCTATTTTTTGAATAATTTGAATGGCCCAGTAAGGTGCTGTTGCAGTATTCCAGGTGAGAACTAATGAGACTTAAATTAGGCACTGTGGTATGGAGAGGAGTTAGGTTCGAGAAATCTTTAGAGGGTAATATCAGCAGGACATTGAGACAGATTGGCTGTGAGGGGTGAGTTAGATGGCAGAGTCAGAGCTGACCGCTCACTTCAGTATTGCTGTCATTCACGTGTTCCTTGTCCTTAGCGTAGAATCAGATGTCAGAGGGAGCTGGGCAGAGTTTGGAGCTCTGTCTTCTGTCTGAAGACAGAAGAGATGTACTAGGACCACCGTAGCTCTTGGGCAAAGTCACTTGGGTCCTAGTCCTGCAATATGGAATTTTAATCATGTCCTTTCCATTTAAGGTTTAAGTGTTTCAGGTTGATGTATGTCTCCTTAATAAGAATTGTCAGATAAAAGGGAAAATGCCATTTGAATTTTTCATAACCCCCAGCAGTCTGGCTTTTCCATTTGGTCTCAATGATTCTGACTCTCATCTTAATGAAGGCCAAATGTAAATTAAGTTCTGTCAGGCTAGAGCAGCTGGAGTCTCCTATCTTTATAAACAAGAAACATTGTAGGGTAACAAGGTGCAGACTGAGGAAGGTCAAGAAAGTTAACGGGGCTGATGCTGACCCTGACAGCTCAATACTAATGTAAGATAATTAACGCGGCTTGTAGGGGCGATGTGGAGATATTCCAACCTGTTTTTGAACTCATTTTCTCCTTTAGCCATTGTCAGCAGAGCAGAAAGCTAATCATTGTATAAGTTGCAGATTTTCATTGTTCATTCCAAAGTCCTAGAACCAACTGACTGGAATGTCAATGGATTTTGTTGATGGGTTCGGGAAATCGGCCCCTCCCATCCCCCTTGTTCATGCCCCTCTGCTTCTGTTTGCCTCATAACATACTGGGAACATGAGTAAATACTCTCTGATTGGTTCTAATGTACCTTTCCTGGTATCATCAGATTTTTGATAGGAACCTGGGAGTTTGGATGCCTAGAGAGGTGGTTTTATAACTTCTGCCAGCTAAGGAAAGCATCGGTTTAGTGCTTTGCCGTAAGAACTGTTGAAAAGAAAACCCTGCTGAGGTCAGGAAACGCTGGGTCTTCTAATCTTTTCTATTACATAAGGAGCTTACCCCACCTTATTTATTTATTTATTTATTTTA